GTCTGTGAGGTAATTTTGGACTCGAGAGATGCCCCGGTGTAACCTACAGTACCGTAGTAAGAAATTGAAAGTATAGGGAAACCCATGTAAAAGTACGGGGGCTTCAGAAGGGCCCGGTGACTCCTTCCGCAGACTAGTGCGAAAGTGCGGATCCACCACCCGCTGAGTACCTGGTAGACCTTTTTTTTATGATCGAACCCGTAGTTTCTGGTCACCTCGATCGGGATTTCGAAACATCGTGAGCCACGATACTTTTCCACCAGAACCACCGTAAAATATCTCAGATGTTTGATAATTTTATTTAATAAACATATATTACATATATGTATAATACACATTTATTTAGTAAACAGTTGTAGCGCTTAGGGAAATAATATGAGAGAATGAAAAATAATAAATGAATAAAATGATGTAGAAATATACAGGGTGTCCCAAAACTAGTGTAAGGAATTTTAATGGGAGGTTCCTGGCATGATTTTAAACAACATTTTCCTTAGCGAAAAAGTTGTCCGAGGCGTGGTTAAGGAGTTAATAACAAAAAACCTCGACGATTATTAACTAAAAAATGAGAGCGCTCGGTTGACGCGAGCTCCGACTCGGGAGCGTTGGCTCCGATCCGGCTGCCCGGCCTTTCACGCGTTTGAACAAACGCTTCGCTAAGTACGAAGCGTTTGACAAACTACATGAATAACAATGCAAGGAAATTGTTGTTCGTGCGTTATTATGAATAACAATTAATACACTTAATTGTTATTCACGTGGAATGGATGGGGATGAAATGATAGATTGTTCATAATTGATGGATGACGATAGGATAAATGAGGATTTAACAAGTCGCAAGGAATATTGAATTGCAAGTGCACCTGCTCACGATGGGCCACGGTCAATGTTTCAACGTCTGTGCCGCTCGTAGGTAGACCACAGCTGATCTTCTGTCCAGGGAAGGAACCCCGCACGATCACTGTCACTCTACACTTAAACATTTTAACACAGTAAGATTGTTGCTCCTACGTTCTATCAATACACGTCTTTCAAAGGAGCCGATTGATTTTTATACACAAACTCAATCTAATTACAGCACTGTCACTCTTCACTTAAAAATTTGCAAGCACTTACACTGTTGTTCCTGCATTCTAACGTCTTCGAAAGCAGCCGATTGCTTTCATTCACAGAATAAACTTCACTATCCGCGTGGTCCGTGAACTACATGATGCGCGAAGAGCGCGACTCGATCGGGATGACGCTCTTCTTATCGGTATCGGCGGATAACCATCTTCCCGTTAGGCGAATACTCGGATCATTTCGTAATACTCTGTTGGATTTTTCGGAATCCGTCATTGAGTTGAGGTGCACGACTCGATACCTACTGATCCGTCTCTCACAATTTTCCTTCGGAAGAATTTTCCCCACTCGATGGCCAAATTCGTTAGTGAAAATGTTTTTAGCATCCCTGACAGAAACCCGAACTTCGATTCCTTGTAATATTTACAACATTCCCCACGTGTTAAACACTCGGTACCTCTGTGACTTGCAGTCAGCAAAGCGGTAGACACATTGTAAAAGCCGTGACATAATCCGTACGGAAGAACTTTTGCCAGCTTATTGTTTTCGATCTCCCTTAAAAACACGTGTTCGATAATAAAAAGTACCTTTGACTAGTTGAACGTAGTAAAAGATGTCCTTCCACCTTTAGTTACCACTAATGCCAGATGGAGTGCATACCGGCGGGTCATATTTACGCGTTTCAACACAACCGGCTCCTTTCGGAGACGTTTAATGTTAGAATGCAGGAACAATGAGGTGTAATGAGGTTGAGTTTGTGTATAAAAATCAATGGCTCCTTTCAAAGGCGTGTATTGATAGAACGTAGGAGCAACAATCTCAGTTTGTTAAAATTTTTAAGTATGGAGTGACAGTGAAGGTGCGGGCTTCCTTCTCTGGACAGAAGATCAGCTGTGGCCTACCTGCGAGCGGCAAAGACGCTGACCGATTGACTGTGGACCATCGTGCACTTGCAAATGAATGAGAAAGTTTAAATTTCTACAGTTTTTACACTTTCTCTTTAATTCAATATTCCCTGCGACTTGTTAATTCCTCATTTATCCTATCATCATCCATCAATTATCAACAATCTATCCCATCCATTCCACGTGAATAACGAATAAGTGTATTAATTGTTATTCATAATAACGAACGAACAACAGTTTCCTTGCATTTTTATTCATATAATTTGTTATTCGTCATTTTTTTAAAACGCTTCGTACTGAGCGGAGCGTTTGTTCTAACGCGTGAAAGGCCGGGCGGCTGGATCCGAGCCAACGCTCCGCGTCAACCGAGCGCTCTGATTGGTCCATGTTTTTTGTTAATAACTCAGTAACCAAGCCCCATTCTGCATTTTGCCAAAGGAAATTGTTGTTCAGGAAGACTCTCCCAATCTGCCATTTTCGGCTCTTACAACCTTTACGGAACACCCTGCATATCGATGCATCGGAAATTATCTTTTTTAGTAAACATTCGCGCATTCACTCATTCACTTCGTCACTGTTTTTCATCATCATTCCTACATTTGTAGAATTCTACATTTCTTCGTTTCTACGTTCCTCCGTTTATTCATTTCTTCACTCATTCACTCCTTCATGTCTACAATTCTGTGTTTCTTCCTATTTTCTCTTCTTCATTCCTTCACTCGTCCAATTCTTAACTATTTTATTTCTACAATTAATGGTTCATCAGCTTATTCATTTACATATATATATATTCGTTAATTAATTAATTAATTAATTAATTGATTTATGTATTTAGTTATTTATTTGATAATTTATTTATTTATTTATTCATCCAACTATTCGTTTGTTTATTCGTTGATTTTATTAATTCATGCATTCATTACTTTTTCATTTAATCGTATCTCTTTCCCTCATTCATTCATCTTAATTTTCTTTTAATTTTGTTTTCTACTTATTCTTTTTGTTTTCTTTTTATCGTTCAAGGAGAAAATTCTGAATGAATTTTCTGAAATGATAGGACGGAAGAAACTAAGCCTGGATTTAGTGAACAAACTGAGCTGGCTGGAAGCATGCATTAAAGAGTCCTGGCGACTTTATCCTGTCACTCCATTAATTGCTAGGCAGATTTATCATCCCATCACCATTTGTAAGTGTTTTAGGAGCGAAAAGAAATTTGTATTATGTCTCTAAATTATGTGATCATAAAATTAATTTCATATTTTTTATGATTACTATAAAAGTATAGGAGTTATCATAAAATGTTATACCACTTTTTTTGTAGGTAACAATATCAGCTTCAACTTTCGTTAATAAGATTTTCTCATAAAATGAATTGTTAACGAGTTATTAAGAACAAAGTAATGTACTATCTTAAAATTCGATTAGTAAAGATTATAGCCTAAAAATTCTAATAACTACAAAAGTCTTGCAGT